AAAACAACCCAGCGTTTTTTAGAGTGTAAACGATGGAGGAGGATGTCATGGTCAACTGTATCGAAGGCTGCTGACAGATCCAGAAGGACGAGGAGAGAGGAGGAGCCACGGTCTGCAGTGATCAATAGGTCATTTGTGACCCGGATCAAAGCTGTTTCGGTGCTGTGTGCCGAGCGGAAGCCAGATTGAAATTTGTCCAGAATTTTGTTGTCGTGTAGATGCCTTTGAAGATGAACTGAGACCACTTTTTCCAGATCAGAATGACTCAAAATCCCTGAAATGTCTCTGTCAACCCATTCCGGGCAGTTTTGTTGCGTTCCATTTGCCCTGGGAACTCGTATAGACCTTTTTCACAACATTTTTGACTGGAAATACGTAATCGTAGGGTATCTTTACTTCCGCCGGTTTAAAAAAAATGGTGCAAGCAGCGACCTCTTCTTGCAGCTAGTGTACCGGGCTGTTCTTGTAATGCCCAAAAGCAGCCAAATCTATCTTTTCATTCCTTCCCTCTTAATGGTGAAGTTCGACATAAATGGATTCAGGCTGTCCGGCGGGATGAAGGACCAAACTTCACAATTAAAAAGGGGAGCACTTATGTCTGCAGCAGACACTTCACCTCAGACAGAGCAAACACTGTATTTTAAGCACAAATGTAGAGGCATGCCCGAGCGAAACACTGTGAAAAAGAGCAAGTGTGAAACAAGCACAAATATTTTAGCCCAAGTTTTTAAAAAAGAATAAAAGCCGTAATCAGTTTAACAGTTTTATTTCAATGTAAAATAGAAAAAGTATTTCACCAAATGCGAAGATCCATCGATAGAGGCTCTCGGTTCCGTCGATGTGCTTAGTGTATTTTATTTTAAACAACACATTGGCCGAAAAGTAAAATAACACATTTTTGTTTGCCTATTAAATACATCTAAAGTTTTTCTACCTTTAAACATTAACAAAAGCCGCTAATGTCTTTACTTTAAAATTTGCATGTGGTGAGCAGTTCAGTAACGGTTACCTTGATACTTATGGACAAATTCTTCGTGGAAAAATTTGTAGCCTTTATCAAGTTTGCTCTTTCTCGTGACGGAGTTTTCCTCCACGAGATTAGCAACATCCGCAAATGTAAATTTGGGCAAATTTGTCAGAGAGGTTGTGTACATTCTCTGCTCAATTTTCTCTGATCCCGGGTTTTCTAATGCATTGACGCTTGACCGGAACTAAGTTTACCCTACGATTACGTATTTCCGGTTTTCGTGAAAAAGGTCTATTCCGATTTCCGATTCGGATTCCGAGTTTTGAAGCTGGAAGTGACGACATGCGCGCTCCTGTTTCTCGGATATCAGAGAAATATCTCGGAGCAGCACAGAGGATCCCGAGNCTGTGCACACTGCATTACAGTACCTGTTATTAAAGGCTGTGCACACTTAAAACTGTGAACACTGCATTATCGTACCTATTATTAAAGGCTGTGCACACTGCATTACAGTACCTGTTATTAAAGGCTGTGCACACTGCATTACAGTACCTGTTATTAAAGGCTGTGCACACTTAAAACTCTGTGAACACTGTATTAAAGTACCTGTTATTAAAGGCTGCGCACACTGCATTACAGTACCTGTTATTAAAGGCTGTGCACATTTATGCAACCACGTGTATTTGTTTTATTTTGTTGAATGAACGGTCCCTTTACAGATGGAAAAGTTTCATAAGATTTCTTGATTTCTGGTTTTACATCAGAAAATCCTGCAATTTCAATAAGGCTGCAGACGTCTTACATCCACTCTAGTTTTACATTGCAGTATAATTTTATTTGTAAATATGTATGCGACTAAATCCAACGTGATAAAATGAATACAACCAACCATAGGAAGCCAGTCTATGCTGTAGGTACTTACAATAACTGAGATCTTCACAAACCAGGGATGTCTTTGGCGTGATTTAACCTCCCCATGACCTCTGTAGAGACCACACAAGCCCACAGTTTTCCCTTCGTCTGTGGGTAATGAAAGGTTAATCAGCACCGCTAATCACCGCAAATAGCAAAAAGGATTCAATGTGGAGTAAAACAAGCGAAAGCCTGAACAGCAAAGTCCAGTATTCACACAAACAAAAATGGATAAGTAATTATTTATTGTATTTGTTACAGTATTTTTTTGGTCTGTTTCTTTTCTATTGCTTTTTATTTACTGACTGTAGCAACAAGTAAATTTCTCCAGTGTGGGATCAATAAAGTCTTATCTTATCTTAATAAAGAAAATAAGCAAACAAACAAACGCATTCAAAGCTGGTATTAGGTAATATAGTAAAAGTGACATATGGAAGCACGAAAAGGAAGCTGAAATGAGTCTATGTGCTCGTTGTAAATTTGAAAACAGAAAATTTCAAGTCACCGATCATTTCGTCAAACGTTTTTTCCAAAATGTTGAGGTCCTGCAGTCTAAAGAAATGTGTCTCCTTTTCCTTCTTAGACACCAGCTGCTGAAGTGCTGCCGTGTCTGCATCAGGACCCACACCGAATGCGTAAATATCTGAGCAAAGAGAGGAAAAACAGGCAGCAGATTATTCTCCAAAGTCAAACATATAATGCCTTTTAAATTCGTTAATTCCATTTAATCAAAATCACCAATCGTGCAGCACACCTGTCGTAACACTAAAACCACTGGGTAAAAGATTCTTAATGCATACAGTGCAAGTAAATGCTGCCTGTATGTTCCTGTAGCTCCTTCCCCAGGTGATCTTCCCCGTTTACAGTGTAAGTAAATGCTGCCTCTATATTCCTGCAGCTCCTTCCCCAGGTGATCTTCCCCGTTTANCCCCAGGTGATCTTCCCCGTTTACAGTGTAAGTAAATGCTGCCTCTATATTCCTGCAGCTCCTTCCCCAGGTGATCTTCCCCGTTTACAGTGTAAATAAATGCTGCCTGTATGTTCCTGCAGCTCCTTATCCAGGTGATCTTCCCCGTTTACAATGTAAGTAAATGCTGCCTTTATGTTCCTGTAGCTCCTTACCCAGATGATCTTCTCCGTTTACAGTGTAAGTAAATGCTGGCTGTATGTTCCTGCAGCTCCTTCCCCAGGTGATCTTCCCCGTTTACAGTGTAAGTAAATACTGCCTTTATGTTCCTGCAGCTCCTTACCCAGCTGATCTTCCCCGTTTACAGTGTAAATAAATGCTGCCTTCATGTTCCTGCAGCTCCTTCCCCAGGTGATCTTCCCCGTTTACAGTGTAAGTAAATACTGCCTTCATGTTCCTGCAGCTCCTTCCCCAGGTGATCTTCCCCGTTTACAGTGTAAGCAAATGCTGCCTTCATGTTCCTGCAGCTCCTTCCCCAGGTGATCTTCCCCGTTTACAGTGTAAGTAAATGCTGGCTGTATGTTCCTGCAGCTCCTTCCACAAGTGATCTTCCGCATTTACGGTGTAAGTAAATGGGGCCTTTATATTCCCGCAGCTCCTTACCCAGGTGACCTTCATCATTTACAGTGTAAGTAAATGCTGCCTTTATGTTCCTGCAGCTCGTTCCCCAAGTGATCTTCCGCATTTACAGTGTAAGTAAATGGGGCCTTTATGTTCCTGCAGCTCCTTCCCCAGGTGATCTTCCCCGTTTACAGTGTAAGTAAATGCTGGCTGTATGTTCCTGCAGCTCCTTCTCCAGGTGATCTTCCCCGTTTACAGTGTAAGTAAATGCTGGCTTTATGTTCCTGTAGCTCCTTACCCAGGTGATCTTCCCCGTTTACAGTATAAGTAAATGCTGGCTTTATGTTCCTGCAGCTCCTTCCCCAGGTGATCTTCCCCGTTTACAGTGTAAGTAAATGCTGGCTTTATGTTCCTGTAGCTCCTTACCCAGGTGTTTTTCCAAGTCTTCTCCTACCACGGAATGCACAAATGCCCTGATTTTGTCCAGAACGTCTTTAGGTCTCCCTCCCATGTTGGCAATGCCTGTGAAAATGAAGGAGACACTACAGAACAAACCAACCACGTGAACATTTACAGGCCTTATTCAAATAAAGTTACTCTGAATTTGAAAAGGGGGCTTGTGGGGTGGGGGGGGGGGGCGGATAAAAGACATTTCTGTTACGGGGTTGTCAACTTTGGTCAGCTGGCTTGTGTGAGATTTTCAATTCCAGACAGATCTGCACACACATGCACACGCATTTACATGCAT